ATTTCCTATAGGTTAGACATACAAGAATTACACTAATTTTAAGTGTTAAATAAAGCATAAACCACTTATAAATACTTTTACACCAAAGAACAATTCAAATAATACACTAATTTAATGTACATACATAATATACCAAATTCTATTCTCACTTTGCAAGGTAAGATGATATACAATGAAGCATTTTAATTAGAACCCAGGAAACATCTGTTACGTAATAATTTTAAGGGTCCTTTATACTCCCTTGTTGTCACACAAAATCTTGTGTTTTTTTTAACTTTTATTAGTACTATTAAGTCATAAGAAGCTTAAAAAATACAATATAAAATTGAGACACATCATTCCTTCCTCAATAAATATGTACACCCAGTTTGAGGCATTCAGTCATTTGTATAGGAAATTGATTGATCAACATATTGTGGAGAATAAGTTAAAGGGCAAATTACTCAAAGCAATGGAATGTGTTCAGAAAATTAATGCCAGAGAAATAATGTAGATCTATTTAGCTGTGACACTAGTGTTGTATATATTCCTTTGTAGTTTCAAAATTAAGATAAAATCTTTCAAAATATCCTATTTAAATCCTTGTCTCTACTCTCATATGACTGGAATTATGTTTCATTATATAAGAAATACCAACATGTTTTTTTCCAAAATGTCAGGGAGTATAAAGAACTGACATTCTTCTTTTGAGAGGTAAAACTAGAAAAAAAAAACACCTTATTTTTCAGTATTTATAGAAAAAAGAAACATAATTACAGCAAAAATAAATTTTTAGTGATTAAAGTAGTGAAACAACATGATTATAGTCAACATAAAAACCTATTAAAATTTGTTTATATAGTCTAACTTTTAAGCAAAGTGATGGATATTTATACTTATTTTCTCAGCATCACTGTATTAGTGAATATTTTTCAACATATCAACTAGAGTGTTTTTGGTTGTTGCTGTTTAGAGTATTAAAGAAAATCTCTTGCCCTGGATACCTTTCAGAGGGTAGCTTGGATAATTCAGCTTCACTTCCAAACTCCTGGAGATGATGTTTAAAATCTTCAGCAATTGAACAAGGCAAGTAATTCCATGTTTCATGATTGATATACTAACCATCAGTTTGTGCATTAAGACGCATTATATTACATCACAATTGTTGACATTCAGAGCAAGCAAATGGAGAGACAGCATGATAAAACATTTTTTTAATCACACTGCACAATTTCTTCCACAAATCTAAAATTGTGATTGCAAATTATAGCCAAAGTAACATGAGGTTCAGTGGGACATAATTTTTAATGTGGTTTTTGTTTTGCTTGCCTTTATAGTGGGAAATCCAGGCTACAAGATTAATGATCTTAGCCAAATTTTGAAATCACAAATCACTGAGATTTTTGGAAAGGGAATGGAATTATGTTGTTCCTAGAAAGTTATATCTCACTGTAGATTTCAATAGTTGATGTCCTGGAATCAGTCTAGGACAAGAAAAATAACATGTTATCAAAATTAGGTGGCTGTGTTCTAGGAGTCTTAGTTGCCAAGCATGCTATGTGGCTAAAATTCATATTGCTAAAATACAGACACACAAGATCAATGTTATGGAATTTAACAGTGGTGAGTACCAATCCTATTCCAAGCTAATTCAGACTCCTCTTACCATTTCATATCCATGTATAATACCTACATTCATGTCACCATGAATTGTTTCTTTTTGAAATGAAGTATCTCAAATGCATGGCTAAGACAGTGACTTGTACACAAAAGGCCATTTCAAGATAGTAAATTCATTTCTTTCATATTTTCCAAATACATTTTCTTCACAATATTTTAATGGGAGAACTGTGTTAAGCAAGGTTTCATTTTAGCATTGTATCTCTTTTATAGAAGTATCGAAATTGATTCTAAAATGATTATTCTTACTGTTTTCCCAGAGTCACACCAACCAAACACTATCTGCTTGCTCTGAAAGATGGAAATAAAAAGCAAACTGTAAGATCATCTTTCAAACTTCTTGTTTTAAATTCTACTACAATATATACAGAAATGCCATCCAGAATATTTGTTAAAATTTATATCAAAGAGGAGCATTTTGCTGGGTTTATACCATTAAACCTGGGTTTATACCATTAAACCCAGGTATAAATGGTTTTCTGCAATAGATACACTTCTATCTAATGAATGTTCCATATTTTTCAGAACACAAATATCAGAAAAAAAAACTATGGAAAATACTTGATTCTCTTTTTAAAACATGAAATTTTTATAAATCCACTTATATCTTACTGCCTCCTAGAACCAATTCATTTCTTCACTCTCATATTTCTATTCAGATGAGCGGTGAACTAAATGTAAATATCACCCTAAAGCCTCCTTTGAAAAGTGTATTTCTCACTTTGTTTAAAGTCAATTGAATTTAATTCTGCCTTCTGATAACAGTAACATTTTATTCCACTGCCAGAATTTCCTTAAGAACAGTGAATTTTTATTTTATTGACTGACAGTTTTCCCCAATTTGTATGATTTTTTTTTAAAGACACCTACTGTATTTGAATTTTTATAAATACATGAGTTCTTTTTCAGTGCTCAATGAACATTTAGCATTCTGCAACATCAGTGGATATAAGATGACTCTCTTGGCATTAATCAGAAAATGAAGTGTATATTAGAAAGGGTGAAGAACATTGCAAATGTTGCAAAAAATACGAGGATTCAAATTATGTTTAGTATCACATTAGTCTGCCTAAGTTCACCAATTCATGTCCAGAAGATATTTAGTAATTAATCTGAAACATCTGTCAACCAATGACATAAAATATATAATTTACCTATTTCTTAAGATCTGAAAAAGTTGAATTTCATCTGAAAACACATTGATTCTAAGATAGTCCTTCTAACTAATAAAAATCAAATGATAACCAAGATTTTATTCTCATTAGCATTTACTTTCCTTATTTTGCTTGCCCTGTGAAATTATTATCCTACATTTAGGAAAAGATTTCTTTGCTAAATAAAATAAAATGTCTTAATAAAAGTTATTAATTTTATTGGCTTTCTCAGGATTAGAAAATAATATAAAAGAAGCAGAAGATATTTGGAAAACACTTCCAATTTTTTATTTCATCTGTGGTATGCTTACTGTATGTTCATGTCTTCATGTAAAATAAGTCTAGCTCTTAAACATCTCCATGATTTTGAAAACAGTTGAAACAAGAATTTTCTCTTTTAACAAACTTCACAAGCCAATCTATTAAAAATGATGCTCTGTGAAAGTAATTCACAAACCCTACTCATTGTAGATTTTTAAGTAAATCACAAATTTACCCCTCGGAAAAGTGCTATGAGGCTACACAACACACATAAAGTGCTAGTCATAAAAAATACTTTTTTGTTGAGAAATATTTCCAAAAAACAGAATGATAGCAATGAGAATTAGGAAATGAGATCACATTTTTAATGGTTAAATATAAGTAAAAACTCACCATGATGAGATGTTAGGCATCTGTTATGTTTGCCACCCATTTAAGATCCACCTTGGTAGAAAACATGGGGCTCATGTGAACTGTAGAAATAACCACTGCCCTGTAAACTCATTCAAAGCATATAAAAAACTCCACAGAGAGTAGGATTCTATTTTACAATTTACAATAACATAATTATGAAATTATTGTAATAAAAATGAATGCACACCTGAATTGGTTTCTTAATTTTGCTCAGTGATTGAGAAAGGCTAGCATCGTATTATTTAACTATCCATATCCTTGAGTGACATAGATTCTTAAGACATTTCCTAATCATAAGTTATTTTCATTGCTATTTGGAATCCTAATAGACTTCTTTAATATCTCTAACTTTGGCGAGAAGAAACTTATTCTGACTTTCACATTACTACATTTTATTAAGCCGAGGTAGGTTTTAGAAGCTTTAATTCATTGAAATTGAGATGAAGACCTTCTTAAGAGTAACACAAACAAAGTCAATATATGGCATGATTTTGAGAGAAAAAAAATGTAGATAAATTCCATCATATAACTTTATTAAGGAAATAATCATACTTAAATTATTTAATTTAGTTGTGGATTTCTAGATACATTTTTATTCATTTCTCCATGAAATACAGATAAAAAGACTGTATAAGCTCTTGTTTTCACAATTTACTGGGTTTTAAATTATTGCATGCAGATGCCTTGCTTCTTAATATGCTCATATTTTCCTTCAGGCCCATTAAAGAAAGCAATCATATTTCATTTTCCAAAAGTCATTATGTCTTAAAAATGTCTCTTGAAGGGCTCAATACCTTGCATGAATATGTAAATGCTCAAATGAATATCTAGAGTAGAGATCTCATATATATTTCATTCTCTTGACTGAACATGAGAGTAGCATGACTTAATTTTCCTAACTTCACTCTTGCTACATTGTGTCAATACAGATGTATAAACCAGAATAATGGTGAGTTCTTAATCTGAAAACTATACTCCCTTTTCATTGTGGGGGCTTGGGAGCATGGTGAGTGGGGAGGATATCTTGATGCTATTAGACTATCTTGGGTAGACAGATTTTACCAACTGAAGCTGGAAGTCTCAGTACCATTAAGACCTGCTTATCAGATTACAAAAGGTATTACTGTGATATATGCAGCCTGGGCTGTTCTGGTCCTCATGCACACAACTGTATTGAGGACAGTGTCATGACCTCTGACATGACATGACCTCCAGAAATTTTGGAGTTTTTCCAGTATATCCTCTAGCAGGAAGTGTCATAGTGCCATCTACAGACAACACCGCCCCTATTATAATCATCATTTCTCACCCAATTTTCCTATAATTAGGAGTCATTTTATTCTGATTTTCCATCAAACTTAAATGAATTCATATACTTATTCAGATATTTCTGCAAAATATGATCATTTTGATCTCCTGTTGAGTCAGTAGATTCTGTAAAGCCCTACTTAAACTGAAAATAGTTTTGAAAAATAAAGTTAGAAAGGTTAATTAGAAACTTGGAATACCTACCAGTCTGGTGTGTACAGACACAGGGGTCTTGAAAGTTGTCACTGGATAGCTGCACTCAGAAACGCTGTAGGGATCAGAACTGCTGGAGGAACACTTGGAGATGGAATCACAGCCCACAAAGGTATTATCAAGAGGCAGTTCCTGGATGATGTGGTGCTTTGAATTTAGGGGAGTTTCCGGCTGGATCTGGAAAGCAGGCTGTGGAGAGGCAGATTTGTAGTGCCGGGCCAAATCAGGGCTGTCAGGCTTGAAAGTAGTAGGTGTAGTGCCCCAGTTGTACTTGCCCATGGTTTGCTCTTCCAATTCAATGGGAAGGTCTAGTGTGACGGTGTTTCTATCATTATCAGCATCGTCTGCCTTAGCTTCTTCAATAGTGACAAAGTTAAGCAGTAAGTTCTTAGGGGTATGCTTCTTCTTCTTCTTCTTTTTCTTTATCATCATCATCTGCCTGTTTTCAGGGTTTGGAGTAACCCATTCAGAATTCTGCTTGTTTTTCTGAGCAGCCTTAAGGTGTGGTGTTTGGCGGCATCTTACTACAGCAGTGATGAAAATAACAAGAATGACAGTTATGGTGCCAGCAACAATGGCAACCATTATCTTGACATAGTCACTTGATGGTGAGGATGTATCAGTTGTCTCAATATTTTGGGTCACTGGTGTTTCAATGTTTTTGCGCACCAGTTCATAAATCAGTGTAGCATTGGTCATCGACTCATTTACAAATAGATTAACATTTATGACACTGAAGAGGGAATCAGGTTGCCCTAAATCCTTGGCTTTGACTATCAGTTTGTGTAAACCAAGATCTGCAAGGACACATTTCTCCTTCAGTGTAATGTTGCCTGTTGTTTGGTCAATCATAAACAGACCTTTTGTGTTCCCTCCTACAATGCTGTAACGAAGCTCTGCATTCATGCCAGTGTCATTGTCAATAGCAACTACTGTGAAGACCACTGTGCCTGGATTAGCGGATGGTGGAACCAATTCAAAGGAGTAGTTGGAAGGAGGGACAACAAAAACTGGTTTGTTGTCATTGACATCGACCACATTTATAGTGACTTTGGCAGTTGAAGAATGTGATACCCTACCACCATCCTCAGCCTTTACATAGAAAGTATAAGATTCTTGTTTTTCTCTATCAAATGAAATATTCGGTCGGATGACACCAGTCTGTGGATCAATTGTGAAGTCATCATTTGCATCTAAAATGGAGAGAGTTACTGCAGAATTTTCTCCATAATCAGGATCAGTTACAGTGATTAGTCCTACTGTGCCATGTCTTGGAAGGTTTTCTGGGACATAGAAGTTGTACTCATTGTGAGTGAAAATTGGACTGTTGTCATTCTGATCAAGAACGGTCACTAAGACTGTGGCATTGGTTATTAAAGATGGCATCCCATTATCTTTTGCCAGAACTGTGAATGAATATTTTTCCTGTTTTTCTCTATCCAGTTTCTTCACTGCAGTCAGAATGCCTGTACGATGATCCAGGTTGAATTCAGACGGAGCATCAATGCCTAGCAGGTAATGTATCTCAGCATTACGCCCAGTGTCTGCATCTGTTGCACTTATTTTTGTCAACTGGGTACCAGGAGAGTTATTCTCAGGAACAGAAAGACTTATGAAAGACTGAGTGAAAACTGGAGCATTGTCGTTTTCATCTTTTAATTTGATGAGGAGCATGGATGATTGATTCAAAGGAGGTTTGCCAGCATCTGCGGCCAGTAATTTAATGGCATATTCTCTTGTGGACTCATAGTCAAGATATGCAGCAGTCTCTAGGAGGAACTGATTACTGAACACTGGCCTTAATCTGAAAGGGACTTCATGATCTGTAAAGCATGTCACCCTACCATTATGGTCAGCATCCTTATCTGTCACAGTTATGAGAGCAATTTTGGTGTTGAGAGGAGCATTTTCTGAAAGAACCACAGTGCCATTGATTGGATTGATGATGTATCTTATGTCAATCAATGGGACATTATCATTGACATCAGTAACATTTACTAGCACCATTGCTCTTGCTGGCATCAATCCACCATCACTTGCCAAAACCAGTAACTTGTGGTTTGGAGATTCCTCCCTATCCAGTGGTTCTTTTACTGTGATAAGTCCAGTAGTAGAGTTGAGGTGAAATAGCCTCTTGGCCATGCTGGAGACAAGATTGCTGAAATAGAAATGAATCCTGGCATTTTCACCTATATCAGCATCTGTGGCATGGAGCTGTGTTACTGAAGAACCTACAGGAGCATTTTCTGGTATATTGACTTCAATCTCATCCTCCTTAAAAACTGGATGGTTGTCATTTGTATCAGCAACACTGACTTGCAAAATAGCAGTACTGGATCTTTGAGGAAAGCCACCATCTTCAACCTTTACTTTCATTACATATGTATCTTTTTCTTCCCTATCTAACTCCTTTTGAACTATTAGTTGTGGCATCTTCTCTCCTTCTGGCGTTTCTATGATATCAAGTCCAAAAATATTTTGACCCTGAAAAACAAATAATGAAACATTTTAGCTTATGTTATTATTTAATGAGGCTGGTTTTCAATTTCTTGAAGCCACATGACATAGGACCAACTCAGAAATAAATGCCAGAGACTTGGGTTCTAAGTCCCAAATTTGTCTATAATAGTGTCACCACAAACAAGGTGCTTAACATCTCTAAATATTTGTGAAATTTGAATTGTTCTAGAAGATGTTATGAGGACTTTTCAGGTCATAGCATTTATAGTGATAAATGTAACTAATTTTGTGAATTGTTAAAGATTTCAAAAGGAAGAATAATGTAGAATTTTAAAAAGAAAATGAAATGATAAGTGAATTAACCATGGTTATTCCAAATGAATTAAAATATCTTACTGTAGATTTCAGCTTTTAGGGAAATTTTCACTACCAAAAGTAACAATTAAGAATAAAATACTCAACCAACACAAAAGTGCATATATCACATCTAACAAATACAGCTAAAACCTTTGGCAAAGGGAGAAAATATGCAAACTCTGATAAGAATAAAACGCTGTGTAAAGAACACAAACTTTGCTTTTTTTTCCCCCTATAGAAAAAGGTGTTAAGATGAATTTTTAGGAATTCCTGAAAATTCCTGGATCCTGGTGATCCAGTGGTTATGACATGGCACTTTTACTGCCAGGGCCCAGGTTCAATCCATGGTCAGGGAACTAAGATTCTGCAAATATGGGGTGACCAAAAAAAAAAAAAAGCATCTTAGAGGTTAACAGCACAATGTTATTTAAATTCTTTTTTTTTAATTAGCAGGCACAATAGACTGAACCTAACATGCCAAAATGTCAAATTGGAAACTATAGCTTGAAATAGTACCCATATTTTATTCATGACAAAAAAGTCACATTATGGAAATGTTTAAAATCAGTCTCTGCTGGTTCTGGCTTCCCTGCAAACCCTTAAGGAGGTGATTCAAGTAATATAAAATTGCAAAATACTTAAAGTGCTTGAGTTCTCTTAAGTGCTATTGTTAATCAGCACACAGAGGGTCTCATACTCTTAAAGATTTTTGTTGTTGTTCAGTTGTTAAGTTCTGTCCAACTCTTTGCAACTCCATGGACTGCAGCATTCCCTGTCCTTCACTATCTCCTGAAGTTTGTTCAGATTCATGTCCATTGAGTCAGTAATGCTATCTAACTATCTCATCTTCTGCTGTCCTCATCTCCTTTTGCTTCTCCTTAAGTCTTTAAAATGGCAACCCACTCCAGTGTTCTTGCCCAGAAAATTCCATGGACAGAGGAGCCTGACAGGCTACAGTTCATGGGGTCACAAAGAGTCGAACACGACTGAGTGACTAACACTTTATTTTTTTTTCTTTTAAGCCTTTAAAATAGTCAAATGTCTTAATTTTTATAAAGTCCAACTTATGTAAAAAAAATAAATAATCCCTTCTCCAAACTACAATAAGATGAGCTCTACACAGGTAAATCTTGTTCGCTGATTGAGGAATAGTGTCTACTGGCTCTCAGAGGCAGTTCTAGCCAGTGTTTACTTGTAGCATTTTAACAGCACTGAGTAAGATAAAAAGCTACTGGAAGCTGTGAAGAAAAGATCAGAAGATCTTAAGATTCTTAGTACATGGGTGATTTATGAACCCTTTCATATACACACATACAACCACACAACACAATTTTAACTCTCCAATATATTTTTTAACATAAAAGTTGCTGACATATGGCGAAGATTAGTTATTGAGATCTCATTTATGTGCTCTGTCCTGAAAGAACAGGATAGCATCTGAGGTCTTTTTCTCATAATTTTGTCATACTAGTGTCTAAAATAAGATTCTAAATATTAGAAACCAACGAATGATACCAAGCTTTTAGGGATCACTAGACTTTATGGTGAGATTATATGGTGATACTATCATTTTTAACTTACCAAAATATTATAATTGCTTTACATCAAATCTAGGACAATACTCAAGTACAACTACATTTTTCCTCATGAATTGCTTGAAGATAATTTTGCATTTTTTGAATTTTTTTGTGTGTTTAGATTCACTTATACTTTATACTTTTATTCAAATTGAGACCATAATATATCTTGATGGAAGAATTAAATGTTTATTATGAAATTAAAGGTGGCATTTCAGAAATGTTAATTAAAATCACCAGTTCGTTTCAATCAAATTTTAAAAAAATTTCATGAGCTAAGCAATGTGCAATAACCTTGTTTTTAATTCATAAACTAAATGAGCAGTTTATTAATATTCTATTCATATAACCAATAAACAGTCTGCTTTTCCTTTGCCAAGGGAAATATCTTCCATGCCATATCTACAGAAGTGTGGAAATTAGCAAATCTATTTTAATAAAAAACAATTTTGCAACAATGATAATAAATATAGATACAATATTAACTATTACAATTTGATCTAAGTAAGCTTAGTTATTAATGATAATTTTATTTTTGTAATGATATTTCAAAAGACTTTTAGGAAGGTTCATATCTGGAATATCTCATTTATGGGTAGAAAAATAGTCTCTGAATTGTAGTTCTCAAAAATCCATGGCAGTTAATACAATTCTGTTAATTCTTGGCATGCTAACAGCAAGTGGCTAGTATGGACACAGCATTCATCTAGGCACTGGGGATAAGGTGGTGAGTAAACATATTTTACTAATGCAATGGAAATTAAACTTTAACTAAGATGAGAGAAAATCAATAACAATCTAAGTATCTACTGATGTTGATACTAATAGATTTAGGCTAATTGAAATAACTACATTTTTATTAAAAGATATAGAGGTAGATTATAAAGTATTATTAGAGGTTATATAAAGGAGAAGTAGCATGTATAACATAGCATAAAAAATAATATCTTAAATTCTTGAATTTCAAGACTCAGTTATCCAGTCTATGACTGTAACATACCTGAGGAAAAGAATAGTTTTAATTTTTCTAAAAAAAAATGATTGGGATCATTTTTAAAATTTTTTATAGAATTTGTTACATTATTTGTTTTATTGTTTGGTTTTTGGCCACATGGCATGTGGGATTCCAGCTACATGACCATATTGTTTGGTTTTTGGCCACATGGCATGTGGGATTCCAGCTACATGACCAGAGACCAAGCTCACAGCTCCCCCTCACTAGAAGGCAAAGTCTTGACCACTGGATCGCCAGGGAAGAATTAAAATTATTTTTTAATTTTATTCACTTATGTTTATGTCTTTTGTGTTAGTGTATTTAAAATTTGATCTTACGTGTTTGAATTTTGAATTGACCTTTGCTTTCCCAAGCAAATGATGGCAGGTTTAGGTTGGTTGAAAAATCCAAGAGCAGCATGATCCTTGTTGTTTATTTTATGTGAAGTGACAATAATGTTAAAAAATAGATTTTTTTTTCCAAATTTTCAAGATGACAATGAGATGTACAAAGTAGATAATAGATACTGTCCATATCACTCTTCTGTCTTCTATGACTGCTCTATCCAATATAATAGCAATTAGTCACAAGTATTTACATTTAAATACTTGTAAATGAAGAAGTAGATGACAGGAGTAGAAGGGGACAACAGAGAATGAGATGGTTGGATGGTATCACTGACTCAGTGGACATGAGTTTGAGCAAGCTCCAAGAGTTGGTGAAGGACAGGAAAGCCTGGCGTGCTGCAGTCCATGGGGTCACAAAGAGTCGGTGACTGAGTGACTGAACTGACTGACTGATTTACATTTAAATTTTGATTAATTAAAATTATATTTAAAAATCAGTACCTCAGTCTCACTAGACACGCTTAAGTTCTCATAGCTACACGTGAGTACTGGCTACTACATTTTATAGCTCAGATATAGAACTTGTCCATCATTACACAAAGTTCTATTGGATTGCACTGTTCTAAGGTGTCATATTTTTCTTAATAAAATTCTACATTCAGGTCAGGTGATTGTGTGTATACCTCCCACTCAGATATTTAGAGCTCTCCACATGACTTGCTGGTTTATATTTTTAAATTCCATATTGTCCAAGCTATTTGAAAAGAAATTCCCCACATGGAAGATACAAATCATTTCAGTTCAGTTGGTCAGTCATGTCCTACTCTTTGCGACCCCATGGACTGCAGCATGCCAGGCTTCCCTGTCCATCACCAATTCCCAGAGCTCGCTCAAACTCATGTCCATCGAGTCGGTGATGCCATCCAACCATCTTATCCTCTATCGTCCCCTTCTCTTCCTGCCTTCAATCTTTCCCAGCATCAGGGTCTTTTCCAATGAGTCAGTTCTTCACCTCAAGTGGCCAAATTATTGGTGCTTCACCTTCAGCATCAGTCCTTCCAATGAATATTCAGGACTGATCTCTTTTAAGATGAACAGGTTGGATCTCCTTGCAGTCCAAGGGACTCTCAAGAGTCTTCTCCAACACCACAGTTCAAAAGTATGAATTTTTTGGCACTCAGCTTTCTTTATGGTCCAACTCTCACATCCATACATGACTATTGGAAGAACCATAGCCTTGAGCAAACAAACCTTTGTTGGTAAAGTAATGTCTCTGTTTTTTAATATGCTGTCGAGTTCTACCCCATGTCAGTTAGTGCAACTGACATTCAAACCCACATGAACAGTGAAAAACAACTGAAGCTCTTTGCCATATGTGAGACTATGAAATGAGAACAATGTGAAAGATGAAAGGAGAAATAAAGATATATGACTGCTTAATTCATTACCTTGATAATTTTAGCACACACATGCCCTGTAGACAAAAAGAAAAGTTTGGGATAATTGTATAGATAGTATCCCAAATTCCAAACTTACTTAGAATCATTTCCCTCTTGTTTATAGGGACAAACAACTTCAGAAAATCCTTTGCTCTCTCTCTCAAATGGTCATCCTTTGGCGAGAGCACACTCACTTGTGTGTCTTTCTTGGAAATTTGCTTAAGCCTCTATCATATTAATGAAGGAGAGTGTAGGATACAATGGCATCAAGCTTCACTATATCTAAGGACATAGCACCTGGCATATACAA